GGGAAAAGCGAGCCTCTCTTGATAGCTGACGATTCAGCTACCGGTTTAGGCAAATGTGATCCTACCAGTAATCAGGTGAGATTTATTTCCTGCCTCCCAATTGCTGGTATCCCTGTATAGGTCTTCTAAGTGACTTTTTTTCTGAGCCTGTTGTAAAACCTGTTTTTTTTGTTTGTTTTTTTTTGTTTTTTTAGAGGTGGGGCTTATATTCTTACATATTTAAAGCGAAACGTGTGAGTTTCTGTACTTTACCTTTCATCAAATTAACATTTTCCAGAGAGGTTTTGTAAAAGTCATTTTTTTAGTCCTGGTGTTTTGTTTTGTTTTGTTTTGTTTTGTTTTGTTTTGTTTTAATTTCAAAGGTCCAGTTCAGTTATAGATTGCTTTATTGTAAGGTGATTTTTAGTAATATTTTTTATCATCAGTGTCTATGGCTATCAGTGTAAACTGGTTATGATTCAAATTAATGATTCACAGGTTTTTTTTATTTCATTTCAACTTCCTATCACCTCCACTGATTTATGATTGTATTCTCCTATTGCTCGCTTTATTTCTAATGTTCATATTTGACACTGTTGATTGAATAGCATACTTGCTCTAGCTCTGTTTCTTATCCACAGTACATATGTACACACACTCACACATGTACACTTGCACACGTCTAAGCTTTTCTCTGAGCATGAAAGAATTCTGTTTTTATTTTTTGTGGCTGGTAATATTTTTCAATCATGTTGATTATTTCACCTTTGTCTCATTTATTTATCCCATCAAAACAAGATATAGTGACTATCTTTTAAATACTAGACTGTCTTGGGAGAGGAAATGTAGAACACACATTTTTTTGTTAAGTTCTAGACATCTTTTCTGTTTCTACAGTGAAGAAATACTGATATTATTTCCTTTTATTCCTTTACCTGTAATTTAATGTCTGTGTGTGTATTGTTAATTTTTTTTTAGTGTAGTAAATTCCCTTAGGGAAATAACTTCATGTTGATCCAGTGCTTCTCAAAAAGTTGTTTTCAAATCTGCTAAAAATGCTCACATTTTTCAGATTTATTCATATGGAATAGTTTGTGAATGTAAGAAACAGAGTGGGAATTTAGACTTTATCAGATTCCTTCTTTATTTCATTTGTAAACTCATTTTTGTATTAACTATAAGTATACTCAATTCTTATATTCAGAACCAACTTGTTATTGAAGCCCTGATAGTTACCTACTAACATAAGTGTTATGTGAAGCAATGTCTAGGGAAGTTAAGGAGGGAAAGGAAACTGATTTAGGGTATTTGGTCAAAGGAATTATCTCCATAGTCAATTCAGCTCATCACTCTCACACCACTTTTGGGTATTTGGCCCAAATTACTTGCATATTTATGTTTCCTTTCAAGTTTTCCTTTTCATTTTGGAATTGACCTTATTATAATTAACTATAAATTGAGTATCTAGTGCTTGTGTGAAAAGAATTTCAACTGTGGGAAAGGGGAGTCCTGCAACAGATGCCTAAGTTTGTATTGAAGTCAAGAAAAGTGTGAGATTGTTTTGAGCATCTAGGGCTAGAATTTATGCTTGTGGAATTCCAAACTGAGAAAAAAAAGATTTAAGGCATGTTACTTGAACTGAAATTAGATGAATAAAAAGAATATGAGGTGTTTGTTGAAAGAGAGAGGCTGTTCCATATTTTTTTAACATAGTTTGAACTAGTTAGGAGTTGTCAACCATGATCTTAGAGAATAAAAAGGAAAGGCTGGTTTTGACACTTGAGATTAAGAAGGTTATTTTGATTAGAGGTAGCGGGAAAGTTATGTTGAGATGCAACATATGGGGCAGTTAAATAAAAGGATAAAATTAAAACACTTACATTTCATGTCATTAAATGTCTATGGTAACCTACTAGGGTATACTCTTTATGATTAAAGTGTAAAACACTTAATAATCCTTTTCATAAATCTTATTTATAATTAACAAGGGAAACTGTATGGTATTGGCCATCCTTATCTTGAGTAAAACCCTACCTTTGATCTCACCTCCAGTTTCCTCTGATGAAAGGAGGAGGAAAATTAAATGCATAGCAGATTGAAGATAATACTGGGTGTCACTTCATGGCTGTCACAATTTCCCCATACCACTTGGTGGGGCTATTTTTCCACATGGTCTTTGTTTTAAGTCTGGAGAGAAGACTTTGCTTTGTTCTTCGAATATGTGTATTGCCTCTGATTAGAAAAAGACAAACTTTTCTCATTACTGAATTAATGGCTCTTCTATAGGATTTCATCTCTAGGGAAACTTATTTGGTAGTAAACAGTGGAAAATAGATCTGTCCAAAACTCCTAAACTGACTCATTTCCTATACATCAGTACAACATATGTATCGGAATACCGAATCCCATTATTAAAAGGCTTCTGACTGCAGTTTTCTAAATAGACTCCAAGCGCCGCTGTTGGCCAATGCGCTGCCAGAGCTGGAGTCCAATATCTACCCATGTGATTTTCTGCACGGTCACAGAAGCAAGTCGGCAAGGAGAGTAGCGGGAACTCAGGCTCTCTGCTCGGCATATCTGATTACGGATTACGGGCTGCGATGTCTTCAAACTGGGAGCGTTGAGTTTTCTCCGTGGTCGACGTAGACATTTTGAACGCAATTTGTGAATCATCTTCTCTTAACGTCTGGGGCTATAGCAGCGCAGAGAAGGATGGGAAATAGGGCGGAGCAGAGGAGCAGTACCTGGCGGCGGCGGCGGCAAGTACTCTTTTCTTTCTTGCTGCCTTTGTTACGCGGAGCGCTCTCCGAGCAGATCCGCTACTCTATTCCAGAAGAAATGGCCAGAGGCTCAGTGGTGGGGAATGTCGCTGAGGACCTGGGGTTGCCTGTACGGGATTTATTGACCCGCAACCTCAGAGTTAGCGCAGAGAAACAATACTTAACTGTGAACACGGAGAATGGAAATTTACTTGTGAGTGACAGAATAGATCGGGAGTCACTCTGCCCGCAAAACCCTCTCTGTGTCGTGACTTTAGAGATTGTAGCAGAGAATCCTCTAAATGTTTTTCACATAAACGTGATGATAGAAGATGTAAATGACAACCCACCTCATTTCCCCCAAAATAGCATTGTTTTACAAATCAACGAACTTGCAATTCCAGGAACTCGGTTTGGCTTGGAATCAGCTATAGATGCAGATGTAGGGCCTAATTCTCTCCAGACTTACCAGCTCAGCTACAGTGAGTATTTCTCTCTGATGGTTGAGGATAAGACTGAAGGCAAGAATGTCCCAGAATTAGTATTGGAGAAGCCGCTGGACCGGGAACAACAGAGCTCCCATCTCCTGGTCCTGACAGCAGTGGACGGGGGTGATCCCATCCAAACTGGCACCACTCAAATCAGGATCAAGGTCACTGATGCCAATGATAACCCGCCAGTGTTCAGTCAAGACGTGTACAAAGTTAGCCTGCGTGAGAACTCGCCCCCAGGCACCTCTGTTCTAAAGGTGAAAGCCACAGACCAAGACGAGGGCATAAATGCAGAGATCGCCTACTCCTTCAAAACACCGCGAGATATTGGAAAAATGTTTGTGCTAGATCATCAAAGTGGAGAAATTAAATCCAAAGACCCTACAGACTTTGAAATCAGTAGCAGTTATACCATAAGCATAGAGGCCAAGGATGGCGGAGGCATGGCCACCGAGTGTAAAATTATACTGGAAATTTTAGATGAGAACGACAATGCCCCAGAGGTGGTTTTCACATCAGTGTCTAGTTCCATAACTGAGGATACCAAACCTGGAACCGTGATTGCTCTGTTCAAAACACATGATAAAGATTCGGGAGAAAATGGAGAGGTCACATGTCTCATAAAAGAAAAAGTTCCTTTTAGAATTGAATCTTCCGCCAATAATTACTACAAGCTTGTAACAGATGGGGCCTTGGACCGGGAGCAGACCCCGGAGTACAATGTCACCATCACAGCCACCGACAGAGGCAAGCCTCTCTCTCCTCCAGCAGAAGCGTCACCCTGCACATCAGTGACGTCAACGACAACGCTCCAGTTTTCCACCAGGCCTCCTATGTCG